CATTTCGTTCACGTCCTCGACATACGGCCAAATAATGTCCCTGAACTCATCATCGCTGAAATTACTTGTAGCGTTTTGAGACTTGATGATTATTACTCCAGGGTACATTTGACCATTTCCGAAGACAAACGCATCTTTTATATCTGGAAACCTCTTCAACGCCTCTTCGGTGTAAATAGGATCGAATTTCTTCCCAGTCGAAAGAGTGATTTGGGCATCACCTCTACCAACGTGCTTCCATGCATTCTTTATAGAAGGATGTGGCTCAAATAAATCACTTGTTGCGAAGCATCCATCCTCTCGATTTGCCTTTGGAAATTGTGGCCAGTCACTCATGACCACCAGTTCAAATCTATTAGAACCATCATTTAATGGTTCAAACTTGAGGGAATTCACACCTTCCGGGGCTCTGAAATATTGCCACTCTTTGTCGGTTTTGTAATCTCGGTGGGTCGAGAGAAGAAACGAGCACTCTGCACTACCATAACGAGACACAAGATTGATTCCTTCAGAGATGAGCAGTTTTCCGTCTTCTTCTGGTAAACTAGCGCCACCTACACCCACTATATCCATTGTACGAAGAAATTCAAGTCCTCTAGATGTAGTAGAAAGCATTTGTGCTATTGTCGGGACACAAGAGAAGTATATTGACTTTGGAAGTTGATTGGACAATCTACGCATAAGCGATTTGGACCTGGGTCGTGTTCCGAATTCGTGTACTCTACGAATAGATGATTCATACTTCTCTTTCATTTGCGAGAAACAATTAATGATTGTCTCCGAAGTAAGTGGGTGCTGGCCATCAGGGGCAAGACAGATTGTTGATAAACTCGTCCAAGCACGCAAACAATCTGCAATACCGCCGGTGTATAGAGGTGTTGTGGTAAATGACAATGTTCCGCGACCATCCAAAATTGGCAGAACTCCGCATGCAACATGGTGAGTGTAGGGAACGGGCTTCGGAAGGCCAGAGGTGCCAGATGTATGATGATTGTAAGCTGGGGTTTTACCCGTGACCTTATACGATGGAATAAGTGATGGAACTCTCTCGACATGTGATGTTAATTCCATAGTAGATTTCCTTGAATACCCCCGCATCTGAAGTGGAGTGTTGCGTGAGATCTTCTCGAGTTTCTGGATTTCCACATACTGTTGTCGGAGATCAACGTCGTAAAATACAATATCGATATCGCATTGGTTGCAAAGATGCTGGACAGCTTCCGAGCTAAGTGATGGCCTATATTGTGTCAGTATGAACGGATGATATCAGTTCCAGAATTCAATTCATCATTTGATGGTTTAATTCTTCAACGAAATTTTGAATTTTGGACTGCTTTCAAATATTGAACTTTCCATCCAGTCTACAGCAAAATACCCCGCCAAAAAGTAGTGCTCAAGACTGGAGATATTTGCAACTTACACCATGACCATAACGGATACTCCTAATCGCATTAATGCTAGCCACCTGAATAGAAAAGCCAAATCACTTCTACCCATGAGACCGACACACTTGGTGCGTGTCGAATCTCTTGCAGTCGTATTGTCAAATGGAAGAAGCTCCTCGGAAGATGCTAATTTGTGGGACAATCTCAATGAACCATCTCGAAGTTCCTGGAAATTATAAAGATGGACCTTCCATTCTGTACGAGCCACTTCGGTACCAGCGCCATTAACTCCATTGCCATTCGAAACTTGTATTGGATTCCTTTCTGGTGAGATATGTCTTGTTTCTTTCCTTCCATTACTAGAAGACGGAGAACTAGAGAATGAAGATGCTCCCCGACCATTCGATACTCGTTTGGTACCATAAAATGATCCATTGTTTGAGTTGTCCCCAGAATCCTTCCTATTGACGATTTCTTCAGGGATCGCTATAGCTAATTGATCTCCATACTTCTCAGCATGGTGATCGAGGAGTTCATTGATTGTGTCATATTCATCGACTGGAGTTAATTTTCTACTACTGGCTTCACCCAAAGTACAAGTGAAGTAATTAAGATCGCCTGGAGCAATGGAAGCCATTGTAAGTAGAGGTGGGATACCCAAAAATGTTGACGAAGCAAAAAAGAGAGAGTTGATGTAACGATTGAGAGAGATTTGAAGAGGAATTACTCTCAGAAGCACTCATAAACAATACATTAGAAGAAGGAACCCACGGCACTGACCGGAGTATCTGGAGGGGAAACCGCATCTTAGAAAAGCCTAAAAAGATAGCTGCTCTGAGCGAAGTCTTGATTGGCAACTTCAAGACTTGATCTTTGACTTGTAAGCTCTTTACTTGTCATTATTTCCAGGGTTTAAAAGTTACTAGATGCGGAATCTAGTGATAGGTCGAAGATATCTGCTAAAACTGCCTTTGTTTACTTAGTCCAAAATGCCAGCGCGTCATGACTATTTACTAGTGGCAGCTTCATGGTAATGAACAACAGGTACTTATGTGCTTAGTGAGGGGAACGTTGAACACCTATGTTTGCCATCTTTCTTGATGGGAATGGTGTAGCTGTACACCCATTAATAGATAATTGTTCATAGTCGATACAATTGTATAACTTAGAACCTCGAAATTTACGAGGGATACATTCATTCATTGAGAATGAATTGAGTTGAGCTTAATGATCACGTGACTACATTGATTTCTACGGTTAACCATAAGAACATTCACTACTCACTCCTCGAACACGAGAGAGCCATTTCTTTTTATTTGGTTCCCTCGATCCTGTATGAACTCAACTTGGGTACGAACTTCTTGACACCTTTAAATAATCCAAGTTTATTATATTTCTAAAAAGGTACGCGACATATTGTTCTTCATTGATGAATGGTTGAATTTCTCATGTAGAGTTTGATATGATACTCTTGATGTCCTTCCTGAGAAGGTCTGGGAAATATATAAACTCGGGATATTGCAGAGCTCTTGTGTGTATATCACCACTGTCTCAAAAAGCTCTCCATTTGATTCTAGTTGAATCAACTTTACTTCAAAGAAGACCATATCACAATTGTGTTTGTTGAACTCTCACCTTTTTCAACGGACACGTGATCACGTTTTGATATGTTATTCACATTGAGAGTATCATAACCTATACAAGTGTTTGGTTTGCGTCTACTGCAGTGACATGGTATCAAACTCCATGGTACAAAGATACTTCACATATTCGTTCACATTCTGTATAGAATGTCAAGTTTGTTACTTCAAGAATAAATCACTAAGTCTCCTACAGATAGATCTTCTCAGTAATCATTTTCAACCAAACCGTTTTTGAAGCCCAGCTGTTACTATGCCTTCCAATTATTCTTCAGTTCCTCCTCAAGAGGTAACAGGAACAACTCAATTACCTTGTAAGTTTTAGAACATCCCTAAAATTTCCTCTTGCCAACTAACATTCACCAGTATCACGCATCAAGAAGATAATTGGGACTGATCAAGACATAAACATGTGTTCCAACAATGCCGCATTCGTTATTACTCTAGCCACCGTATGTTTTCCATCTCTATCTGATATTCTTCATACAAAAGCTAAGTATGCATTCCAGGAAATGTTCATTCAATACATGGCCGAATCAGGCCACAATGTTGTCAAGTCTGAACGTAAACCTCGTCGTAACATTCAATATCGTGATCTTTGTAAGTCTCTCCCCTCTTCAACTGCTTCATCAATATTATCCTTACACCACCAACTCAATGCCCATCACCAACCCCCTATATGTCCGACAATCCTCTCTCTTCCCCCCTTCTCTCACCCCCCACTAACACCCCCCAGCCTCCGCCGTCTCCCACATCGACAACCTCGAATTTCTCAGCGACATCGTCCCCAAGACCGTCCCCCTCAAACTTGTCAAAGCCAACGCCCACCTAGCCAACAACCTCGCAAAAGCCAAATCCACCATCCCCCCCACCAACCCTCCCTTTCCCCAACCCGCCACCTCGTACGCCGGCCCCTCAGCCCCAACCGCAAACCCCAACTCCTTCCCTCAATCCCCCCTCCTCGACACAGCGCCTCCCCGCGTTTCCGTCTCCGGCCTATTAGACGACTCCGCCGATGCATCCACTTCCACACCAGCTCTCAACCAAATCCAACCCCAACACCCATCTCAACCCCAAACTCAAAACAACTCCCCCACCCAAACTACCACCGCCACAACCCCCGCCCACCCCATCACCATCCCCAACGGTTTCACCCCCACCAACGGCTTCACCCCCACCAACGGCTTCACCCCCACCAACAAACCTCAAAAACAGCAAGAACAGCGAAGAGTCAGCACCGCCACCGAAGACGAAGATCCTAATGCGCAATTGCGGATGGAGAGTCAAGCTAATAGCGACGATCACAATGAGGAAGAAGATGATGATGTCGAGATGAGTTAGTCAGTTCGACATGTCATGTCATGGGTTGTGCTTTTCGGGGATATTTTTTTTGGATTCTCACGTGCATTCCCTTTCTTTTTTTGAGTTTCTTGCACAAGAGATGTGGTTGAGTCGAGATGATAAGGAAGGAGGGAGAGGAGGTTGTATTGTAGACAGGAGGCGATGTAGTTGGTTGAGTGCGCGGGTATGGGAGTACATATTATAGATATCACAATGCATTGGTTTACAAAGTCAAAAACAAAAACAAGGGAATTAGATAAACAATGTAAATAGAAACTGATTTGCAAAGTCGTGGAATTTCCTTCTGTGGAGAGTAGAATGCTATGCTATGCTATGCTATGCTATCCATTCATTGCATTCCATCACATATACACATCAGCAATATACATCAGCAACACCCTCTCACCCAAAACGCCCAGCAATATGCAACCAATATGAAGTACTTTTTCTCTCTTTACTTTGTATATATCATGATTTAATATCATCCTATTCATATCCTCTCATATCCTTTCATCCCAACGGGACTGGACCTAAAGTGCTTTAACTAGGTAGGTAGGTACGCATTTATTATGACCCCTCCTTTATAGCACCGATATGCAATTTCGTTCCTCTCCTCTCCTCACTTTCTCCCACTCTATTCTTCCATTGGATCATCGCCTTGCGCAGCCGCCGGAACTCTTCCTTCATTCAACTCCTTCTCCAATTTAATAATCTCCTGCAAACTCTTTGCATTCTTGATCAATTCTTCGACCTTCTTTCGTTCGGAATCGGTAAGCTTGACGCGGTAAGACTTGGAACTTGAGGATGTGGATGCGCCATTGGCGATGCTGGATGTGTCGAATGTGTGAGATTTAATGCCCATGATCTGTGAGAATGGATATGTTAGTATGGCAGTCTTAGGAGAAGACCAAGAAGAATGTAAGCTTACCTTTGATGCAAGAGCAGATGGTTCTGCAAATGTACCAAATAACTCTCGAGCTCTTTCCCGCTCTACAGCTTTGACTTTCTTGTAATCCAAAAATCGCACATTAGGACATCGAAAGAGAATCCATTCTCTGTAATGCTATTATTCGCACCCATCAATTAGCTTCATCCAACTCCCTTGTTCATTTTCCAGCAACATCAAACCAATCCCCTCATTCTCCCCAACACAAAACAAAATAAAACAAAATAAATAACGCACCTCCTTCCTAGTCACCGGATTCTCCATCAAAACCAAACTCGTCAACCTCGCACACCCAGCCAATCCATCCAAGTCCGCCAACTCAGCTACATTATTACTCGTCAAAACCAACGTGGTCAAGTTTGGTAACGAATTCGCCAACGTAGGTGAGATACTCGAGACGCGATTGCGAGCCAGGAGAAGCGTCCTTAAACGAGGACTGAGTGGGAAGTTGCTGAGTAGTTGAATATCATTGTCTGTGAAATCGATTGCGTCGTGTGGCTAAGTTCCTGTTAGTATACTACTTTGCGGGTATGTGAAGCTTGTAAGTTAAAGCTAAAGACAGAGCCAAAGGAAAAGAACTCGTCTTCCTCCCACCGTCCTTCCAATTCCCCTCGACCTTACTCTTACCCTACCACTCCCCTCTCCCAACCCCAAACCAACAGACAACAAACAACCAAACAACCAAACCCCAAGAAAACAACAGAAACAAGGAAAAAACAATAAAACTCACCCCCGCAACCCCCAAATTTTCCACCGCCGGAATCTTATGACCTGCAAACCACCAAACAAACCAGTATCAACTCAGCTCTTTTCAAAAGTGTAGTATAGGGAGCCTCCCCTCCGTTCTTAACAGGCAAATCAAAGATTTAAAACGCACCTCGAAGATCTAATTCGCGTTCCTTGAGCGGATTGAGATAGGAAAGGGAGGATTGGATTAAGTCGGCTGTGAGACGCATGATTGATTGATATTTCCAAAGTTAGTCAATAAATTGTTCTGTTGGCGGGATACGAAGAGATGTGAGGATATATGTGAAGGTCGTAGGGTCGTGAGGTGCGTGAATGGGTCGCAAGGCTGATATCATGATGCTCGCAATCTAGAAATTATTTTGGTGAGCTAAGCTTTGATTGCGCGCGCTAACCGGGTTTCAATTGTCAGCCTTTTGGAGGCATCCCACTAGGTAGGTAGTAGGTGCACACAAGGATTCATTCCATCTGAAATATATACGATTAATATCAATTCATCCAGGTAAATTATATTACAATCACTTATTACTAGTTATTGTCTAATAGATGCAAGAGCTTATTGCTCAATCTCTATAAGGTTATATCATACATCTCAAAAAATACAATAACCCGATTCCCCTCCTCATTCCCATGGTTGTGTTCACTACCGTTTCCATTCAAATAACTCCGATCCTTCATATATTTTCATAAATCATCCTGACTCACTGGAAGACAAAGATAACTCCTCCTCTATCAACACTAACCACCATTCCATAGGGACTCTCTAACAACGCCACATCCAAAATTGAATCCAAATGCGCCCTCAATAATTGATGCCCTTGTAATGAAATAATCGTACTCCTTGGCGCCTTTCCATTTCCTCTACTGCTTGCTTCAGATCTACCTCCATCATTGCCTCTATCTCTTGTCCCAGCATTAGGAGCTGTTGGGGTTTGTCTAGGTACTCGCTCGTGGTTCAATGTAAGTATCGGAGTCGGATGTGCGGAAGTATATGATGGCTTGAGCTCATCAGTCTCTAAACCACTCACAACCATTGAACTTTCTACGCGTGATAAATCCCAGAATCGAATCTTACGGTCCGAACCACCAGTAATAACAAACCCATATTTGCCATCACGATTATCATCATTAGCATCCGTACCAGCAATCATAGCACGAATTCCATAATTTGAGACACTGGCTGTTGGTTCGAGGGCCCCTGCAAAGCGACCAAGCATACCTTCTGGACGATCTTCATCAACAGGCCAAGGTTCATAATTCTTTGGCGCCTCTCGACTTGATCCAGATCGATACACTTCTCGACATTGTGTCTTTTCAACATCCCAGACGGTAATTTCTCCTTGTCCACTACCACCAGCAACACATACCCATCTACCTCGACCTCTAGTAGGATGGATTCGAATTCTGTAAATAGATGTGGAACCTGGAACACCCCAAGCCTTTAAACGGACCTTGAAACGTAAATCCCATAGATCCAAGATACCATGTGAAGTTCCTAGTAATAACCAATTACGTTTCTTATCGACACAGAAACATGTTGGAGTGCCATGATGAACAGGATTCTCTAGAATATAAAGGATTGTCATGGCTCTTAGATCAATAGCTAATACTCTTGAACGATTCGTAGCGATAAGTAAAATCGAATTCGTTTCTAATTTAAAGTGCTCTGCCCATATGGCAAATTCGTCTTTTGGTAGCTTGTATTCACGTAAGAGGCGAAGTTTACTATATCTTCCCACACCACCACTTTGGATGAAATCAACTTTGACTACGTTGATGCTTCCATCACTTCCACAGCTCACAAATGAATGTGTATGTTCCACGAAGCATAACGCAGTAACTTTGGCATCATCTCCATGTTTGTGCGTCTGTCTGGATCGATGAGCGATATTTCGTTCAAGTCTACCAGTATCCCACACTTTTACGCAACCATCATCTCCACCTGTGAGGAAGAATACATGATCTGGAGCAACAGCTATGTGATGTATTGGTCCAACATGCTCAGCAAAAGTAGCTACAAGACTACCTTCAGGTCTCCAGGGTTTATCCCCAGCTTGATTACTATTCCTATTAATAGCTCGGCGTCGACTCGAAGGAGCAATCATAGGTCCGAATTCGGCGATATCATTAGGGTAATTATCCACATACATGGCATCCAGCATTTTGAGTATGTTTGGATCATTGCCTGAATAAGTATGAGCCGCTCTGAATCGTATTTCATTGTTCGCAGAGGCATCTTGATCTTTTGCCAAATTAATCGACAAAGGTTGAAGAGGTTGTGAAAAAGGTCCTTCAACCTTGCCGAAAGCATTTGTTGAGGTAGTACTTGTCTCGGGCACACTTTTCCCTGGCTCCTTGCGATTCATCAAAGTCATAGCAGAAGACTTATGACGGATGCCACGAATAGTATCCCCTGATTCAATAGACATAGCGCCCAATAGTGACGCTGTTCCATCGTCGCTCATTTGAGCTGTTGTGTCTGAACTTCCAGGACGGACTAGAGATCCTTTTCGTGGTGTCATAGATGACCTTGGAGTCGAGGTATCCGTAGGAGATAAGAATGCAGGTGATAAAGTTGGAGAGTGTGGCTCTAATCCATTAGTAGTAATTGGTAAGCCAGCTTTCGATCTATGACTATTAAATGCAGAGCGTTTTCTTTTAGCGATTGAATCATCAATAGTCATGGAAGCATCAAGTAAAGCGTCGGCTATAGAGTGTTGCTCTCCATTGATCTCTGAACCGTTGTTGATTTTGCGAGGTGGTTCTTCTGTAATCTGTTCATCAAACATCACTGTTTGTGGTGTAATGTTAAAACTTCGGAGATTGATGACATTATTGAGATAGGTTGGATGTGTTGGACCTTCTCTGACTTTGGAAGGTGCAAGGCGCCATATATACTCTCTCAAAGCGATCAGCTTTGCTTCATCTTCGTGACTCATTCCTATGTTTCGTAGTTTTGCCAGCCATTGTTCATCTTCTTCATTCTTTGGTATTCTGGATAAAGCATGATGGCCAGACTCTTTAGATGAGACAGTAGGCACAAAAGTGCTTGAACTGAAAGAGAATGTTCGTAACTGATTCACAGGTTTCCAAAATATTCCTCTATCCACTTTATTCGCCCAATTGATAGACATATCAAGGACTGCCCTCGATAGTGGTTTTTTCAAAGCATCAAGTAAAGTGATCTCCGAGTAATCGTTGACACCTGTCTTTAGATATGGACGGACAAGTGGTAAGATGATGCATAAAATATCTGCACTGGACAAAAAAATAGTTGCCGATGAAATAAAATTCACTGCTGCCTCTCTGATCCAAATGTTAGGATGCATTGTGAAGCGACTGACAACATCTACCATCTCCCAAATCTTTGACCGTTGGAACAAACCCAACTGTGCCATATCAGCAAATGAGTGAAGGACACTTCTTACTACAAAATCTTCAGGATCCGTTAGAGCCTGAACCATTAATGGTAGTATAAATTCTTCAAGGCTGATACCCCCTAAGAAAGTTGCAACCCCAACAATGGTCTCGAAGAAAGCACACTTCAACATCCAATTTCGATCATTCAAGTAAGTATTTAGATGACTCAAAATAATATCATTCGAGTCTGCTGTGCCGAAAAACATACATAACTCCGGCACGGATCCTAGAAAAGCTCTTTTGACAGCAGAGTCACTATCTGTAATCAAAGCCTTAGTATGTCCTTCGAAGACTTCAATAAGCTCATCTCGAGCTGTGTCAAATAGCCCTTGAAATGGAGCATCCTTTCCATTAGCATCGTCGGCATCTGGATCCGTAGAAGGAAGTGAACCATCTGACCTCAAAGTTGCAACCATATCGAGAAACTTAGAGGCTGAACTGGCAAGGCTTCCTATACATGCTGCATAGGTTGCCCTTACTAAAGGTCCTGGTTCTGTAGGTGAACCGGGGAGGAAAATCTGCATTCGTGGCAAGATGTATTCTGGAAATACATGTGCATTTATAGGTGAAACCACTGTAACAAGAGCCAAAAGTTGAGTTATTGTTCGAATAGCTGTTACTTTCACAAGCTCCGATTTATCCGTGAGTAAAGTCATAATATATGGTAGAACCCGATCGAGTTTTGCTTCGTCAGTCAACCTTTCGGCAAAAGCTAGTAATATATCGCAAGCTCGAATCTTTGCAGTGGCTCTCGCAGTATTTCGCATTGATGATACAACTAATGTTAGAAAAATCAAAGTTCCATCATCTATAGGTCGTCTACCAAGAGCAGAAGCGAAATGCTCATTATTTGGTATGTTGAGATGTACAGGTATTGGTTGTAAGCCTGTTCCTGTAGATATCCTCTTAAAAGCTGGTGTTGGTTTTTCATTCTCATAACCTAAGAAGTAAGAAATCTTATCAAAGTCGTAATAGATACGATCAATACGTTCATCGGCCTCACCAAGATTTGCCGATGACCCAGATATTGGCGCTCTTCCAGATGATGGATCGGTAATTAAACCCATGTATTGATGTAAAAAACTGTAAAAGTAATCTGGGAAGACTTTCTTCCTCCAAAATTGCAAATACTCTTCTGCTGAGTATCTAGACTCAGGACTCAATTGTATCATATGTGACACCATTTCTCGTACATCTTTATCTGTTATTCGATTGAGCAACGAGGTAACTGGATCGTACTCCCCTCTGCGATATTGATACAATTGACTCAATGTGAAAATTGGAGCTTCAGTGAAAAGTTCCGCTATCACGCAACCAACACTAAAGACATCCATAGCCCAAGTTATTGGTGCCTTGGGATCTGGTGTTTCTCCTGTCGCCAAAAACCGTTCCGGAGCTAAATAGCATGTTCTGCGTCCGGCAGTATCGAAATAATAGGAGAAATCCGCAGGGTTATCTTCCGGTAAGTTTGTTGGCTTAAAAGAAGAAGAGAAATCAGACAGATATAACCAATTCCATGAGGTTACTAATGTATTCTCCGTCTTTATATCTCCATGGAACACATCTCTAGCATGACAGTCACGAACGGCGCATAAAAGCTGAAACGCAAGCCATTTCTTCTCGATATCTTCCAGAAAAGGTCTAGTACTCATGCGATCGTATAGGGAGCTATATAAATATTGTCGAACAAGATAACCATTCGTTTCTGTTTCCGCGATACGTTGATAGGGGAGCGCATTGGGGACATCAGCCAGGGCTTTTCGTTCTCCTATACAAATAAATTAGATCCCATCAAAAGAAATCCATATACACAACTCACGGACTATCTTCTTCCTGTACTTCTTGAGATCCATGGCATAAGGCTTGACGACAACCTTGACAAGTACAATCCCATCTTGGCTACGAGCACGAATACTTTTCATAAATCGAGCAGTTCCCATAGACTTTTCGTAGACCAAATCCGAGAGTTCTGGTACATCGATACCTGCAGAGCCCGCCGAGAGCGTCGTGAGGGAGAAACCTTGACCCATGGTTGTGTTGAACAGAAGTTCATCTGCCTGAAGTCATGGATATTGCTGTTCTTATTTATTGAAGCAATGAAGTAAAGCTTCCAGAAGCTGTAGTACGACAACAATATCAAGTATGGCAGAGAATCATATCCACTAAATAATTGTAGAATCGTTGTAGTTGGCGCAAAGCATTTGGAGTTGTCGGTTTGAAGATGATGGTTTACGAATGGAGGTGATTACTAAGCGATAGGGCGGTCATTATCTGATATGTATCTATCTTGAGCTAGCCAACTACCTAAGTGGATACCTGGTACAATTGAACATTTCATGAAATCATCACCATGAATTCATCAACAGCAAGTGTTTCGTTCAATATTCCAAGAGAACATTTCTCCATAATTTTTGAGCAATTCATCACAATAAATCAGAGAATGGTTTCAATACGGTCTGAAAATCTTCCATCACATCCTTCTGTCACACTCTATTGCACAGGGCAAAAATCATCAGACGAAGTGATAAAAGGTCATTGATTATAATATCATGTCTCGTCGCCAATAACGGCATTTATAAAGTACAGTGAGTTTCCCAGCTCATTTCATAACTCCAACGATAGGGGTTTCAGACAACCTATCATCCCATGAATATACTGGTGGGTATAAATTCATTTACTTGCTTGTAACACATCCATTTGGTATGCATTCCATTTAAGCCTTTCCCTTTCTCTTCAACTCAGCCTCCTCTTCCTCTCTCAACTGTTGATCGATTGTAGCACCTCTGCTTGGCTCATTGCCGTGCATCTTGGCCTAGTAGCATAAATGTCAGTACAGTTTTGAACAGAGCAGACATCTAGATATGCAACCGAAATCCGACATAAAATGGAGTATGGGGTCGAGTATTATTGTGCAACAATGTGTATGTATGGATGGATAGGTAATGACTTACTGGGAGGGTAGCATCTTCCTTTGCGGCTCTATCCTCCTTGCTCATCTCCTCAGGCTCGTTCTCACGTTGCTCCTCACGAGCCAACTTGTTTGCAATGGATCTCTCATCCTCTGTTTGATTAATTAGCTTGTGATTCTTCAAACTTCAAGAGTTCAATAAATCTTACTGGAGTCGAGTGCTTGATGGCTGTTCTCCTTTCCCTCGTGGAATCTCTCGTGGTTCTCGTGGAGTTGTTGATCGACGTTGGAGCTCATTTTGATTGATTGATTGATTGATTGATTGATTGATTGATTGATTGATTGATATGGGTTTGGTATGAATTGAGAGAAAATGTAGATAGTGTGAGGTGTTTATTATATGGTTGATTGATTTGAACGTTGAAGAGTATGAAGAATTAAAAGTCGATGAGGGGTATCTAGTCGACTATAAAATAGGTAGATAGAAGTTGGAGATTCGAGCAATACGTCATAATGAAAGCTTTTCCCAAATACCAACTAGACTGCCTTGCCTTGCCTTGCTATCAAAACACCACCATACCATAGAACAGACGTCACTTAACATCAACATCTACCTAGTATGTAAGGTACCCGCTATTTTTTCAAAGAAAGAATCAGGAAAGAGATCGTACCAACTCTAAGGAATCGCAAAACTTTGAAAAAGTATGGGAATTCCTCTCCACTTACTTTATTGAGATATCTGATTGATTGGCTTTTCATCTACCCCTCTATTGACGATCAATCGTAGGGCAGGAAGCTTCGAGAACGCATTGTGTATATTCTTTTGAAGCTTCACCGAGAAAGTTCCTTTTCGAAATTGTATCATAATGACGAAGGATAGGGGTTTGTTGATATCGCTCCTTTCTTTTCCTTCCAACGTTGAATGAACCTCAAATGAAGCCCCATCGCCAGCCACATCGACCACTTCTACCAACTACATCGCTTTGTCGTCTACCCAGTTTCACAGACTTGAAGATGTAGGAAGTTGGAACTTCTAGGAAGGGAGAAGAGAACAATCTCACATACACACCAGCTGCGACCTGCATCAAAATCAATCCCAACTTTCCAAGAAGCCCAGCCCAGCCAGCTCAAGTGTAAGCTTACGAATTTATTTTCCGGACGATCAAACCAACCAGTATCTAAACTATCGGATCTCATCTCCGAAAACCTAGAGCAAAGCAACACAGCCATCAAGGATTATGAGACCGACAGATTTTACAACAATCATTTTGAAAACATCGGCGAAGATACAAGCAAGGGCGACGACTACTATTTTCGAAGCAATGTAGATCAATGCATTGACTAATGATGTATGCATTCACTGAGAGTTTTGGATTAGAGACGATGTCTTGCATGAGTGCCACATCACAATGTCAAAAGTCTCTGACATGACATGACATGGCAACTATAAATTTGACGAACGACAAGTCAATAAATCGTTCAGTCCTAGATCTGTTTCCATAGATGAGATGGTGAGAAACATTTGATAGGGGGTTATCTTGTTTTACATGACCCTCGATTCCAACCCGCATACCAGTGTTTCATCTTCATGCGGACTTCAAGCAGCGAAATGAATCCCCCAAAAGAAAGGTTTCTGTGGCACTCAACAGCACATATATAATTACCTCCAAGTACTCTTGTACCATGAGAGAGAAAGGAACGACGACATTACGATGCTTCGACATTTGATGATGCAATTAAATGATTGGACAAGAAGAAAACATTAACCACCTCAATAAGTACTAGGTAATAAATAATCAGACCTCGTACTCTTCAGCGTAACCGCCATTTTATTATGGAAAGTTGCATCTTTCTCATTTCCCAGCCTCTTTACCTAAATCCAATGGAGTCTTATTAGCCATACATTTCGCCTTTGAGGAGTCTGCATTGAAAAGCGGCATGTTTACAGACTTAACAGACTTATTAACAGAACAAGCATTTCTTTCACTCTTGAAACGAACTAGGACAAGATGAACATGGCAAGAACGTTCGGATAATTTCTATTCTCGATGTCTGTTCGCAATGCGTTGTAGTTGTAGTCCGCCAGTCGAGCCAGTGAGCCAGTGTGAGAGAGATGTAAGAGTTCTGGAACCTACTTACCGCCCATGTAACACTTTTCCGGCTAAAATATGGGATTATTCAACTTTTTATACCCTAGTTTATTTATTATAATAAAAGATAAAATTAAAACTCTTCTAAAAAAAATGTTATTTAATTAATCAAATTTTATAGAAAAATAGATAGAATATTTTTTTCTAATTTTCGAAATAGGATTTGAAGGAATTAAAGTTGAAAACTCTAAATTTTCAGGAAAATTCGCCTATTTTGTATAGGAAAAACGTTATATATTAGGATTTTTAGAAAAATCCAATTTCAGTACTATATAATTATTCAATAAAAATAGTGAAAAGTATTTCGAATAATTTTTTATATTTTAATTATAATTATTTATTAATTTTAATTTTTTTTAAAAAGAAAATACAAAAATCTAAATAAAATATTTGATATAATAATTTGTATAGGAAAACCTTATTTTTGCGGGGATTTTGTTACATTTATTACAAGAGTGCGGTGAGCAAGGATCAGAACTCTTACCAGTTAATAGCTAGTGATGATATAGTGTAACAATAGAACGTGGCTATCAAACGGAGTTGATCGTATTCATCAATCATCAATCATCAATCACCACCTGGGCAATCTACCTATAGCTAGATACTTGATGAGTGGCTGAGGGTAGCTCGGGTGGAGGGTGAGTAGGTCGAACGGGTACCGGTATTGTGTTGGCCAGGGTATTTAGCGGGGGAACGACGGGACGAAAGGAAACAAGCGTACTCCGTATAAAGGCGTGTGGTTGTTTATCCGATGAACTTCACCGATATATGCTTTCTTTTTCTGACGGACTAACCTTTATCGACCAGTGAATGTCAACATAATTACCTCCCTGGTAGATTTACTATGAAATCTCTCCTGAGTCCTGAGTTCTATATTTCTTCATTATGACAACTCAGAAAGTTCTAGCCTTCACATACTGGTCATAGGTAAGAGATACGCAAGCTTTTCCCCCAAGAAACATCCAGACTTGCAGGTGCATGGCATGGCACCTTTCTATCATTATCATATTGGTATTGGTATTGGTATTGGTATTGGTATTGGTATTGGTATTGGTATTGGTATTGGTATTGGTATTGGTATTGGTATTGGTATTGGTATTGGTATTGGTATTGATTGGTATTGTATTGTACAAATCCAGACAAACCTTCAAATTTTACAAGATACCCAAAACCAATTCTTCGGAATCTTTCATCCAATGAATCCTTCCTCTTGTTGACTACGCTGTAAAAAGGTCTATTTTGCCATTTCCCTCACAATTCCCTCACACGATACTTTTTTGCTTCACCCTCATTTTAAATTCGGTCTCCCGCGAAGACTCCCTGTCGACTACAAGGGGTACGGTGCGCAGAGTGGTAGGCACAGAGCAGTGCATCTTATCTATTTTTCCCACTTTGGCTTTTGAGCGCAGACCTTTCGAACCTTTTTTAGACATTCTTCCGGCCAACACGCCAAACAGCCAAAACCTTCCTTTCATTCATTCAATCACCTACCTAGTATGTGCTTGAGTTTCAGGCCCTTTCCGCTCTTTTCCCTCTGGTCCTTTTCTTTCCTCAGGTAGAGAATATCCAGAACCTAAATATTCCTTCCTACACAAAGCCCTCTCTCTCTCTCTCCAAACAAGAGGCGGTCACTAAAGGAAAGAAGAGGTTGATCAAAGTTCAACCATCTTTTGATCCTTGGGTCCTCGGGTCCTGCTTCTTCCTCTTCCTCTTCTTCTTCTGCCTCTACTGCAGTGAATATTGTTCATTCGTTCAACTCATTTTGTTCATACCTCACTCAACTTCGATCGCTACAAAATTACCAGAATCATTCTCTTGAATTTTCAATTCGTTTTTGGAAGAACTTCTTTTTTCTTTTCTTTTCTACAAAATCTGTTAATTCAACAATCGCCTCTTTGGATATTGGGTGGTACTTTTTGTTTTTATTGAGCTGAGGTGATCGAAAGAGTCGATTCTAGGAAGACGGAAAAGGATATAATAGCAAAAGGGTTCGAATGCTTGTACATGAGCAAGGACGACTACAGAAAGAAATTATGATCCAGCAAAATCTGGGAAACGATTCCGATTCCACCTTCACCACAACTTACTTTTCGATATCAAACAATGAGAATTATCATTGCGGCAATAGCATATCATACGAACCATTGAAACTATCCCCATCTCAAACAATGGCGAAAGTAATATCGAAAGATGGGAAAGGACTCAACAACAGGAGCAAACGAAAACAAAGGTGGACTGGATCTTTTACCAAGGCAGCCGTAATATCAATTCTCGCAAGTGTACCTCTTGCAATTGCAGATTGTATTTCTCTTTCAGATTCTACTCAATGTCCTGCATTTACTTCCGCTTCAATTGATACAAACTTGACCGGACTTTTGTATGTTTTGACCTCGCCCTACCAACAAGCGTTTATCGATCAACACTGACTATATGCTATTTAGCCCATTTTTATCATATGTTTCCGATCGCGCTACTTTCGACACTCAATTAAGTGCATACGTTCAAACAAGCTATGTGCAGTCAAAGTATGCATCCCAATCATTATTTACATATGCCGATGCTTGTCTAACACGATCATGCAGGTACCAGCAACTTCTCGGATGCGGAAATATAAATCTTACAAAAACATCAAACCTTTACGCTCGATATACAACCACAGTTATATGTAATTCTATAATACAGAATTCCAAATCATCATGTAGGTTGTCGGATACCCAAGCACCACCACTTTGTGCAGATTCTTGCGTGAGTTTCCATCATGTTCAATTTTGGTATGACTTGAAGTTGACAGATACAAAATAGGCCCAATTCGCGGAGAGCGAATCGATAATAATTGCTGATAGTCAACTTTGTTCAAGTCCCGGAAGCAATGCTATTTCTCAAATCCGTGCCGACTTTACAAATTGCGCATTACCATCAGAATCATTGACTGGATCTTGTGTAGAAGGTTCCACTAATGAACCTGATAATTGTGGATATCACAATAGCACATTCGGATTATGTCAGTACTGTGGTACTGGTGGACAAAACAGTACAGATACTTGCTGTTATAATTCAGGAGCAGAATCACGTTGTGCTGGTGTAGTATTACCCACGATTACAGGATTCATCACCTTCTCGACAAGTACTGCCTCCTCAAGTTCAGGAACATCGACTCCAACATCATCTTCCACCGGTACCGCCGCCGCCTCCTCAACATCGAAGAAGAGACTATCCCGTGGTGCCATCGCAGGTATAGTTATTGGATCATTACTTGGTTTGGCTGCACTTGTTGGCTTGATCTTTTTCATGTGCTTGCGTAAACGACGTGGAAGTCAGCATGGAAGTATCTTAAACCAACCGACACCTGCCAGAAATAATGGAATGGCAAATAATACCGTAAATTCTAATACTACCCCTGAAGGATACGAAGTACTTCCTGGAGGACGAATCGCCCGAATGTCGGCACTTGAAGGACATTCTCATTCGGGACATTCTTCATCCCCACGCGATAGAGATGGAGTAATTGGTGGCGCTGTGTTAGGAGGTGTGGCTGGCTATGCTGCCGGACGAAGACATGATCATGAATCTTCGAGTGATTTTGGGGATAGTCCTAGATCAGGTATGCAAGGTGGAATTCTACGACCTCCTCCAAATAGACGAACCGGTTCTCTTTCTAGTGGCTCAGTTCTTGGACTTGACGATCCTCAAACTCCTGTTACTGATAGTATGTCATTACCCCGCGGCGTGGCTAGTAATCAATCCGAACAATTACCATTCTTCAAGGATTACTATTCCCAAGATGAAATTCACCCTGGCGACAAAGTTGCAACTTTATGGGCGTATCAACCACGTGCCGGAGATGAATTTTCATTGGAACGTGGTGATATGCTCAAGGTTGTTGGTATTTGGGATGATGGATGGGCTACCGGAGTCATGATAAATGAGCGCGCCGATGAATGGGACGAAAAGCATAAAGTACAACGCGATAGTGGGGTCTCGAATACCTCTGGACGAGGAAATGATTCTCCAAATGTTAGTGGCGAGATTAAAGCTTTCCCATTAGTTTGTGTTTGTCTTCCAGATCATTGGAGGAGGACAATCGATGGTGATGGCTCGACAGATTCTGGTGGTCCACCAGGCCTATATTGACGGCATTTTTCATTTTTCTTTCTTAATCAACAATTTCACGGCTTCACGATGATCGTATTTCATTCAGTACAGGCGTTAAGGACTATAAGATTCTCTTCACACACGCACATCAACCAATCCTATATTCACACGCATTCCAATACTTCATTTACATTCGAATTAAATTTCACGCCCTGTTACGTCTTAGATTTTACTGACGGTATCACATCACACATTACCGGTCTTGAGCTTATGTGCTCATGGATTGGCATTAATTTTTTAATGATGGCATCATTTTTTTGCTGCTTGATTATGGAAGAACATTGTTAGATTATTGATACTACTACCATTTTCTTTCTTATTACATATACCCAAATTCGTTTATACTGCTATTCGGATGGAGACAAAATTGGGAGGATGGAGGCATTTTTGATTTGCATAATAGTGACTATTGAAGAAGATTCATTCATTATTGGGGATGAAGAAGGCTTTTCAACAGGAGACTAAAGGGAGTAAAATAGAATGATTATCTATATGGGCTGTTAGGTTCGTTTCATAGGTAATCAAAATAAAAGAAGTTTGAAAGAAAAAAGGTCCAAATAACCCTCATGGATGAAGTCCCCAATGAATTGAATGTTGTGAATTGCGTGCCCATCCATAGACCGTTTTATCTACTGAGAAACGAGAGAATCAACCGAATGATGCCCCGCTACTAGCGTCCTTATTTCCCCAAATTTTATAATTCTGCCAAAGCGGTCGACTATTAGACTTCGACTTTGATTTTAAAGACTTTCACAAGTTCAAATTTTACATTGAGAAGACGTCACATAAACATTTCTCCATATACACGATATCACAATGGTTAAGAAGAGAGTTCGCGATCCGGAAGAACTTCCTGATGCGCCGGTTCATAGTGCAGGAGAGGATGATGAGAATGATAGTGGAAGTGATGTGAGTTTTGGATTTCTTTTGGACTTTCTTGGGGAGGATGATTTGGGGGGATGGACAGATGGGGTTATAAATTTGGGATTTATTTTTTGAATCGCTTTATGCGGATTTTTTACCGCTGCACTCTTTCTTCTCGGTATAATCAACAATGCATAGATAAGTATACTGACGCCGATGAACCACCACAGGGCGAAGATATCCTCAACGTTGATTTCGAATGGTTTAATTTCCGAGAGATCGATTTCCACGGGGTCAAGAGCTTGATTCGACAATTGTTCGATGTGGATAGTCAGCTGTTGGATCTGAGCGGGCTGGCCGACGAGGTGGTCGCGCAGGATACGATTGGCAGTACGGTGAAGGTGGATGGGGAGGGAACGGATGCGTATGCGTTTATGACGGTGCTGAATGTGCATTGTGGGAATCGGGAGGGAGGGGAGCTGAGCGCGGCGGTGAGGGGGTTGAAGGGGTATTTGGAGAGTCAGGTGAAGGAGGGGGGGAGGATTCAACAGGTTTTGAGGGGGCGTGAACATGTGGGGGTGGTGTTGGCGGAGAGGTTGATTAATGTGCCGGCAGAGGTGGCGCCGCCTATGTATGGCATGTTGGTGGATGAGGTGGAGGCGGCGGTGGAGGATAAGGAACCGTATGCTTTTGAGTATTATTTGGTTGTGTCGAGGGGGTATCGAGAGGTGGAGTCGAGGTTGGATAGGGAGGAGCAGGGCCCGAAGAGTAAGAAGAGTAAGGGGAAGGCGAAGGCGAGTGGAGAGGTGTTTTATTTTCATCCCGAGGATGAGGTGTTGAAGAGATTTAGCTGTGCCTATGAGGAGTTTGAGTATAAGAAGGATGAGGGGGAGGGCATGGCGGATAGCAAGAGGGCGTTTCAGGAAATGGGGATTAGAGCGGTGGGAGAATTGATCTTGATTGAGAAGGCGAAGTGGGAAGAATGTGTTAAAGCTTTGGGGGAATATTTGGGTGCTCCTAGTTAAGAGATGTTGAAAGAGAGGACAGAAATGAATGAAAGAAAGAAATAAAATTCAATATTAATATCATGTATGACTTGGGAATCTTTTGTTTGTTTCTTTTAATTTTTGATTTTCTATTTGCTTTCTCCTTTTTTTGATATTCGCTTGGGTATACATTTTTGAAGAACATTCTCTGCCACAATTGGTATTATCTCATGCCTGGCTTTCTCTCTCGTACATCTATGGATCTGAGTCATTCCACGGGAAGTGAAAGGCGAGAAACTCCCCAATGCTCTATTTGCGGACAAGAACATAATCGAAACGATCAGTATCTATACATCCTCACATCTTCTATGTAGTAGTACAATGTCCCTCTCAACATCTACTCCTTCTTCTCCAATCTCTGCATCAAATACTCCACCTCCACCACCTTCGTCAACGGAATCACAAAATCCCTATACAAGCCCTCTACCGCCTCTACATTAATCTTCCCCTGCGGCTCCTCTCCATTCGCCTTGCCATTACTCAAGCTCGGATCCGTGCCGTACGTTCGCGCCTTCAATCTCAATCTCTCGAGCACCTGCAACTCCACCTTCTCATTCGTGATGGCGCGGCCCAAGCCCTCGCGATCGCCCGCTAGGATCATCTTCGTAAAAGCTTCTTCCTCTGCGCGGAACTTGGACTCGGCGACGAATTTGCCAAAGTGGATGCGGCGCGAGAGCGCTTGCAGACAGTTGATATCGCATGTGGCGGCGGAGCCGTAGTTTTCTTCGCGCTCGCCGCGGTCGGAGCGCCCGGTTTGGAGACAGGCTTTGGGGAGGAAGGTGTTGATGTAGTGGTCTTTTATCTGGGCGTTGACGTTGACGGTGTTGGGGTGGAGGATGGGAGGGTAGTGGAGGGGTTGGAGGATGGGGGGTTTGAGGGCGTCGGGGAAGAAGGGGTATTCGTCGGGGGATTGGAAGCGGCGGATGAGGGAGTCGAGGGTTTCTCGGGAGTGGAGGAGCCAGTCCAGGAAGCTGAGGGTGGTGTTGGGGAGGGGGAGCGCAGAGGGGATGTAGATGGTGGGGTTGAGGGGGAATTGGACACGTTCGATTAGGTGGAAGGTTATGGTGTCTTCGAGACGGCTGGGAGGTGGGAGGGAGGTTAGTTGGGGGTTTGGAGGAGAGGGGGGAGGGGAAGATGGGGGGATGGGGGGATGAGAGAGAGAGAAAGTACATACATGAGTTGAAAACGAATATTAGCCAAATCAAGAGCTTTAGAAGCATCTGAAAGATCGATTGCTGCATCCATGATGAAATTCGTAACTATCATATACCAATTGCAAATTTAGGATCTGAATTGGGTTGAGAGAGTAAAGTAAAGTAAAGGTTTTGAAGTCTGTATGTAGAAAGTATGTATGTGGAAATCAAAGAATCTTGAAGAAAAGATTCGAACAGTGCAGTGCAGTGCAGTGCAGTTTGGTTCAGCTGATGTTCGCTCTTTAAGTTTATGTACAGAGAAGAAGGGAAGGGGAGGGAAGGGAAGGGAAGGGAAAGAAAAGTAAGGAAGATGGAAATAGAGTTTGGTGTCTTTGCTTGTATAAGGTTTTGGGATTTCTCCTCGGATCCGGAGATGTAGAGAGGGAGTGGATGAGGAGTGAGGAGTGAGAGGAAGTAATTGGATTGGTGAGGATGAGGATGAGGGTGAGAGTGAGAATGAGATTGTAGTGTTATGTATGTGATTTATCTCTGGTAGATACCTAGTCTGTTCGATTATGAAGCTTTTATTTATATTGTACAGAAATGCAGAAATACAGTCATAATCCACCACTTGCCATCTACTCACCATCCACACCATCCACCATCCATAATAATGAGTACATAACATAAAAATGAATGGTGGGGGTAAAGAATATTCCGGAGAAAATACCAAGCAAGGGATCTTCTGTTGTGCTCTCTTGGTGTGATACACTGTACTCTGTTCTGTTGCTCGTGTGCTTTTATATATATATATATATATATAATGGGAAATTCTGGTGCTACGATGGATGTATCATGGTATTGGTATTGGACGTACTATGTATCTATGGTCTACAGCTGTACACCTGGGCATAGCTCCTGGATTGTCAAAAGGACCCGAGCTTGAATACCTATAGGTAAAGGTACCTACTAATAAGGATTGTACAAATATTATGCATAAAATTACCCTTCATCCCGCCCAGTCTGGAATTTTATGATGTCCATTTCCTTTTATGCACATCTTTCCCACCTATCAATTCCATTCCATCAGTCTCACTACCTACCTAGTACCTACTACTACCTCCCCCAGTCAATTACCAAAACTATCTCAAAATCCATTCATCATACCCGTCTCAAGCCGGTATCCTATCCTATCCTATCCTATCCTATCCTATCGTCCCCTCCCGTATCGTATCGTATCTTCCAAAAAGATCTTGACAGAATGAACAAATTAAAAAACTTCTAAAATTCTTTCCCAAAATCAAAAACTTAATTGTGCCAACACACACTTTCCACGGGAACCAACCAAATACCGCGCCCTTCAATTGTCCTGCATTGAATATTATCAATCTTGAGCAGAAAACTTGTCATCGGTACTGTTGAAAAAGTCAATTGTATGGCTGGCTCCAGTAGCCGCAATGCCTCTTCATACGGGGCAGAAGAGGATGAAGATGGAGCTTTGATATCGGTATGTTTATGCTGTAATTTTCTCTTAGCTCGACTCCAGAGGTTCCTTATCTGCATATCCTATTCATTCTTCCATTTTTATTCATGTCCCATTAAATTGTGCTTGCTAATGGGTATCCATCTCGATCAGACCCGAGGGTTAGAAGCTTTTGGTCGAAAGGTTACCACGACCGCTGGGCATCTCATAGGTCCTATCGATCCCACTTCCAGCACCCATTATCAAAATGCCATGAGCGATTTACATAAACAACTTCGCAGACCCAATCTTCAACGCAGCGTCTTCTCCTTTGCGAAAACTACCCCGACCGATTTGGTGCGCTCAAAGTTGTCGACGTCGGAAATTCAATATCGGGCCTTGACTTTCTTGCCAGATGAACTGTTGAGGAATATTCCCGACAATGATAATAGTTATTCCTTATTTCAAGGGTTTCAAGCAACGCTGCCGGAAACGAGTGAGGAGAAGGGAAAAAAGCATAAGAGGCGAATTTCGAGGGGTAGGAAACTTCTTGATAATGCTAGTGAGGGGGGGTCAGAGGGGGACGGTCCACCCAGTCTTGCGAGGTTGAAAAAAGAAAAAGCGGCTCTGAATCATCGATTGGAGATGATGGGTATTCGGAAGAATATGGCGAGTAGTGAGATTCATGGGATTGATAATAAAATTGCAAATCTTAATTCTATGAGGAGAATTGTTTTGGATAGGTTGGCGGGATTGGAACAGGAAGAGTCAATGTTGGAACATGAGAGTGAGTATATTTTTGCGAATATCGAAAGTGCGGGGTATAACTAACTTTGGGGAATAGTTCTAGATGTGGAGAATCGATTGGAGGATGCTCAAGAACAAATTGATGATGCGGAAGCTTTGGGAAAATCTATTACTGGGACCGATGAAGGAGAAGATGCTGAGAATGCAGGAATGGATTCATCATTTATGTCTGAATCGATTTACGAAAAACTTCCCTCGAGGGCGAGTACACCTTCATCGAAGGGATCAAAAAGACACAAGACGATTCGAAGAAAATCCATGCCAATTTTACATGAACATTTCGAACCTGGGTCTTCAATTCGAGAAATTCAAGCTCATGATGATATGATTACTGCTCTCGATTTCGATGTACCATTTGGTACCATGGTTTCTTCGGCTTTGGATGATTCGGTTCGAGTATGGGATATGAATGCTGGTAGATGCATAGGACTTCTCGAAGGACATACTGCATCTGTACGAACTCTTCAAGTAGAGGATAATATCGTTGCGACTGGATCTATGGATGCTACAATTCGATTATGGGATCTAAGTAAAGCTCGTTATGAACTTCAAGATAAAATTAAGGAAGAAGCGGAAGAGGAAGAGGAAGAAGATCATCTTGCATTTGGTGAAGCTTTGGAACAAGAACAACAACCAATTCATATTCCACAAGGAATGATGGTGGATTGTCCATTATTCACATTAGAAGCTCATGTGGATGAAGTTACAGCTCTTCATTTCCGTGGCGATACTCTTATATCTGGTTCGGCTGATAAAACATTAAGACAATGGGATTTAGAAAAAGGAAGATGTGTACAAACATTAGATGTGATGTGGGCAGCAGCACAAGCTTCGGCAACAATGGGTTCTACTGAAGGTACATGGCGACAAACTGGACGTTTACCAGATGCAACAGCGGATTTCGTAGGTGCGGTACAAGTTTTTGATGCGGCACTTGCTTGTGGTACTGCTGATGGAATGGTTCGTTTATGGGATTTGAGAAGTGGTCAGGTGCATCGGAGTTTAGTGGGACATACAGGTCCTGTTACTTGTTTGCAATTTGATGATGTCCATTTGGTTACCGGTAGTTTGGATAGGAGTATTAGGGTATGTTATCTGAGTTTTTTTTTTCTTTCGCTTTTTCATATTTTGGAGAATGTTATGGGTATCATCAACTAACAGTTAAATAGATCTGGGATCTCCGAACAGGAGCAATCTATGATGCATATGCTTATGATTCACCTATTACAAGTATGATGTTTGATACAAGACGTATTGTAGCGGCTGCTGGAGAAGATGTCGTCAAGGTGTATGATAAAACGGATGGTAGACATTGGGATTGTGGTATCGGTGCAGAGAGAGAGGGAGATATGACGGAAGCTGATGAGAAGAATATCGTAGAAAAATGTAGGGTTAAGGATGGGTATATGGTTGAGGGAAGGAGGAGTGGTGTAGTGGGGATTTGGAGTTGTTAAATCTTGGGGGAAGGGGGTTTGATAGATGATATGATGCATGGTTTATTAGAGATTTGGATTCATTCCTTTCCTTGATATTGGCATTAGATTCTGGTAAAGAGGACCGGTGGTTAAAATCGGGGTTGTTTATGTATGCATGATGAATGGATGAATGGATGTATGAATGGATAGGTGTGCATGGTATAGTGGTGTGCATGGTGTGCATGGATTCATAGACCATACACTATATACATACATACATACATACGAATGAATGAACGAATCAATATATTTGGAGTCTTGTTGTGTATCTATATTTATGTTTATATGAGATTTTGGGGGGCATTTTTTGTATATTTGGATTTTGATTCTTGGATCTTGGTTCTTGTTTCGGAGGGTTTATGTAGATTGTTTGTTGATTGTGTGGGTGGATGGGTGATTGAGAATTCATATGATACATAACATATAATTCGGGGAGAATGTGAAAAGGGGAAAGAGGAAGGGGGAGAATGTAAGGGGGAGGGGAAAGTGAATAGGAATAGGAATATGAGCTTGAGAGCTTAAGGGTAGGCGGATATTGAGAGAGAATAAGAAGGAGTAGGGGAAGGGGAGGGATGGGATGAGATAGAATGGGATGAATAAATGGAATAGATTGGATTAGAATAGAATAAGAAGGAAATGGAAATATATAAAGGGTTATAGAGTTGTATATAAAATCTAATATAAAACATAATATATTACCAGAAAGAAAATTCCTGTGAAAATAGATAGGTGTATTATATTCACAACAGCTTGGGAATCTTATTCGGATGCTGAATGCTGGATATTGGATTGGATGCTGGGTTTTATGGGAACGGGAACGGGAAAGGAGAGGAGGGCGTGTGTGTGGATTGTGGATTGGGGATTGGGGATAGAGGAGGTTGTGTTTTTCTTGAAATAATTGTATGGGTCTGGGTATGGATAGGTGTGGTGATGGGGATGGTGGTATGGTAGTATGTATACTAAGTGCAGGAGTGGGAAAACCATGGTATCATAGTCAAGATGCAAGATGTGAGATGCGAGATGCGAGATATAAGTTGTATGGCTGAGGTAGGTTGAGTTGGGATGGGATAGTTAGGCATATAATTAAAAAGTGAGGAATCCATTTAATCGATGCTGATGTTTCGAGGAGTACAGGAATAGAGTGAATGATTGAACGGGAAAGATTTGGGATTTTGCGATGGTTTTTACTTCGTGTGGGATACATGGCTGGTTCTTAGAGACCTAGGATGAGGAGACATGTATGTTTGTATGTTTATGTGTTTACTTTAGCGAATGTGATTACAGGGAGAAAGAATTAGAAGAGAGTACCAGGTCGTTCGAAAAGGATGCACATACATACTTGCGGCTAGGCTCTACAATACAAGTAAGATTCGTATACTTTTGATGTTCCAAGTCAAGATGAAGAAGAGACGCGGATTGTCTGAATGAGGGGCGAGAGTCTATCGGGAGGGCTCGAGTGAATGAGTTTGTGAATTTTGAATTTGGGATCTTAAATTTGGGAACTGGTTTGGTTACTTCAAATTTTATAGATTACTGGGTCGAGGGGATATGTTGGAATGGGTTGAGTGATTGAAATGGTTTGAATGCTTGAGATGAGTTGAATGATTGAAATGAGTTGAGTTGTTGAGATGGGTTGAATGCTTGAAGTTCATTAAGTGACTGAAACAGGTTGACTGATTTTAGTGTATTTAATGATTGAAATGGATTGAGGGATTGAAATTAGTTAAGTGATTGAGATGGGTTGAATGTTCGAAGTAAAATGAATGTTTAAAATGTATTGAATCTCTCAATAACAACTTACCATTAGAAACTGCAACATCAGTTCTCTTAATCTATCTCATGAGGCGCTTCCCACTTTAAGTATGTTTAATGGTAGGAAGCGGTTCACTGTTCATAACTCCGAATACCTAGGTACCTTCAGGTGCTGCGAGAGTGGCACTATTCATACTTCTGGAACAAAGAAGTGAAGCTTAAAAGGTCAAGTTAGGGAGAAGCAGAGGTTTGTGAGATCTTATCATTGACTTTGATACATATTGAGTACAAATTGGTCTAGTACTTATGTTTTTGACATGATCTCAAAACGAGAAAATAAATACATGAAAAATGAAAGGGTCTATAGACCTACCATGATAATGATGATTCTATAGAATCTGTGGATACATTACAGCCTATGGGCATGTATTTGATGAAGGAAACAAAAACAAATGACTCTATGGAATCTGCAAATATACTACAGCCTATGGGCTTATATTTGACAAAAGAAATAACAGGACTCTATAGAGTTGAACCTATACTTATAAGTTAGGTGGTGGCTTATAAGCCTAAAAATAATGGCCTATGGGCCGGAGTAAAATGAACATGGAAAAGAAAAACATATGATGCTCAAACCTATAGGTATCAAATAGAGCGAGCAATGGGTGAGACCCCATCAGACCATCTCATCTCTCCACAAAAATTGTACCCTTGTGGGTAGCTCTATGTGGGAGAGCCTTCATCCTCATCATCCTCTTCTTCTTCGTCTTCTGCGTGCGATGATGAAGAGTCTGAAGCTCGAGATTCGAGAATTGCTGACTTCTTTCTGGACAATATGGAGTCTCTGTCCATTGAAATGATGTCATTTCGGGATTCGAAGGCCTTTCTTCTAACATTGTAGACCTTGCGATATTCTTTGGTCGAAGACAACAAGAGATCGATCTTGATATCATCTTGTTCTTCAACATATTGATTCCATGCATCGGCAATGGCTTCGAGATCCCGGTTGGAAACTCCCAATTGTATTGTTTTTGGCTTGGCAAATCTGCCAACACAATCTTTGATGTTTCCAACAAATGAACAATGGTCTGAAAATCCATCTGGAATTCTTTCATTGATCATTGTCCGAATTTCCGTGAATAATTCAGAGTCCAATGAACCCTCGAGCTCCCCCAAAAGCCTGGATTTGCCCGAATCGCTTGTAAAATATCCCGGGTCTTGGCGATGTTGTTGACCCAATCTGTGCCATGTGGCCAGTCGGATGGCATGGTGAAGAAGTGGAATATTCCCATGAAAGATTGGACATATGACCAAAGAAGTCAACTCGGTGATGAAGGAATCGCTCCAGTTGGTATTTGGAATTTTCGAATCATCACTACCATTTATCTCATGATTGGTCGAGATATCAACGTATTCACCATGTGGTATCAATTCGTATGGTGTAATGCTGTGGATCTCCAAGCATCTTTTCCAAAGAACTTCTTCTGCCTTGCTCGTTCTTTGAAGAAGTACTTCATCATCTGCAGACCATGATGATGATGAACGAATTGATTGAATGGACCCATGGTCATTATCTGAGTCATCCGAATCGAGTTGAGACTGAGAATTTGCTCGTTTTGATGCAGATGCGCCATCGAAAGACGTGCTGGATGCCCTTCGACGTTTTCGATTTGGAGCTGGAGTTGGCGGCATCTTACATCACCAAATTGATGATTTAGACAGAATTGTATGATGGATGGGTGGGAGAGGCGTATGAAATTTCCCGTTTGAGATTTGGGAGAATTGTTGGTGATGTTGGTGGTGATGATGGTGATGGTGATGATTATGATGGGAGAGATATCGAGAACTACGACGATTATCAAATTTCTATATTCAAAATTTGACGAAAGTGCGAGTTTTTTAAGCTAGCCGAATTAAGAATATCTGAGTTTAATCTGCTGATTGGGATATTCTAGGGCTACCTAGGTATCCATATATTATGATTAATGTGAAGAGAAAATGCTCGAAAACGGCAATTGCTATCTCGCTCTTTCCTGTTTGGGCTTTTAACAACCAACTGATGTAGATTTCAAAACTTACTCATCCTTCGATAGAGTATTGTGTTTGAACACACCAATTACAAGGCCATTCTACTGAAGATTATAATATTCAATGACCTCCAGCTCCTCGGATTCTCCAAAACCTTTATGTAGAATGAAATACTCTAAACACTTCATGACGTTACGATGACAGATCACTTGGATAAGGCTCTCAAATGCTTGCGACTATGACACTTAGATACATCATATCTACTCGATATTTAACTGCGCAGCTCGTATCTTGGTCCCTATCGTCATATCAAGATGACACATTATATCATATAATGAAGAGCCCATAAGTAGTACGAGATGTCTGAACACAATATGTTGTTTGATTATCTGAGAGAGACTCAAACAATAGAGGTTATCATAAGTATCCAGGCTTAACTGGCTATTCAATGATCAAGTCTAGATCCAATAATGAAGAGCCTCACAAACACAGCTCTTAAATCTGCTATGATGTTTGATTGCTCAAGTCTAGACTCTAAAGTAGAGACAAACAGTAGGAAGTGATATAATGCTATTGAGCCTAACAATACTTTTCATTGTCGAATTCACATTTAAGCAATCAAAAGTGTCATGAGGCTATGAAGATTGAGAACCTAACTGTCTGTATCTGGAGCCTGATAATGGCGAGTATTGGATTCAATATCTTAGACCATGGCAGTCATTCAATATGCTCTCAATGTACATCGAAGCTTCTCTGTGACTACCCACCTATTATACTTGATAGTCAACAAAGAGACATGGATACTATCCCGGTTAAGAGAAGACACATGCATCGCCGGGTACTAACGGATGCCACAGAGCTACCCGATATATGTATCCGAATAATCACTCGACCAATTCTGATATAGCCGGATGGGTATGCATTTACTAATGTTGTCTGGAAGTGAGATCATAATATAAGTTGCGCAACCACACTTGCATTGCATGACTTCTCCTGGGCCGATACCAACTGCTGTGTCAGTATTTGCAATGAAGCCACATTGTCAGAGCAGCCACCACAAGAAATTCTAGAATGTCATCAGTATAAATATGGTATGACGTCTGCATGAACCAATCGGTGCTGCCGCTGTGCGACGACTTGGAATAGGCTCAGAAGTCTATGCAATGCCCTTGCAAGTGGATATTTCCCGGTCAGCTTGAAAATCATCAGATGGTGAGAAAGGCTTTATTCATGCGAGAATAGTCTATGAGTGATTATGGATGGTAGCCACAATCCTATGGCGTAGTTAAAAATTCGTTTTGCAGTTAGCCAAGGAGAGGCAACCAACTTAGGAGGATCTTTTACCGTTCACCCATGAAACTTGGCTCGTATGCACTTAATGAATGGTGTTGGCCCAAAAAACATCTTGTAAGGGTGCATAGGTTAGTGTTGCATTGGGTTGGTAAATAAATATGTTCTGCCGTGAGCACTTGGCATTTGGCAGATTACAAACAATATATATCCTAGTCATCCGATTGTTCATCAACGAAAAGTCAGCTTACTCATATATAAATCTTCGGGAATCGTGTTACCCAAGTTCTAACGTGGCAAACAGAATGAGACCCTTCCTTTGGAAAAATCCTAGCTACAACGTTGCAACGAATGCCAAGAACTTTTTGTCCTACCCCGCTTTCCCTCGGTACTTGAGAAATCATCCCTTGAATTCGTAAGCGATAAATAAGCTTTTAGATCTATGTAAGATTCCTTCAACGCTAATGCTACTATGTTAAGACATGCATTTACGATGGGGTGTGGGATATATTTATATGTTGGAACTAGCTCTCCTCAGAAATCCTTCAACATCATGATGGAAGCAATGTGAGACAACTAGCTCATCAGGAGAGGCGAGACATACTGATGCTAAGCATTTAAGGCAGCAAAAGGGGGAAGGAGGGTTCTTGTTGTCTTCTTCAGCAGTTTCACATACACAGCCTAATCGATACAGAGAATATACGGGCACTTCCTGGAGGCGAACCGAGTTTGTGTAACACAGGAAACAATCAATGACATACACGTCTAGAAAATTAACAGTCAACCATCAAGATGCTGGTGATACAGACCAAACGTTGTGTAGATTGATGTTGTCAATCTTTTGAGGTATTATAAAGTATCAACCTATGTTCATCTCACGTTAAGTCAATATTGATTTTTTTCTCCTGCCAGACTACAACACAGAAAATGCCTTTTGAACTCAAATGACCAGCTAATCTCCCCAAAACTAAAGTAACTAGAGTATATGTAGCCACTGGAAATTATCAAAATCACAACCTAGATGTCAACCGTTCCAGAAATCACATGTTAGATAGAACAATAATTTTTAAAGTAGATAGGTATGAATTCCAAGCAAGCTAATAATACACACAAACCCCCAAATCTAAAATGAAAATCTCTAAAACCACATCTCTAAACTCCCTAAAACAATCTGCGCGAGCAGTAAGATATAAGCCATCTAGAAAGAAAGCAAAGCAGGAAGGTATAATAAAACAACTGCAAAACCCCCTCTCCCCAACAAAATGAGAATGAAAACAAACAAACACCCCTTAAAGAATCAACGAAAATTCTTCCCCTTAAATATTGCATAACAAGAATACATCCTCCACCATCAGTTAAACCTCATACCATATGCATACTCCCACTTAGTAAGAGAAAGGTCCAACAAGATTCCCATGCGACTTTCCCCGACTCGTCAAAATCGCACTAACATTCTTCATCGCACTCTCATGAAACTCCTGGAAATCAAAATCCACACTGAAACAAGCATAGATATTCCACAACCAACTGCTAGAGCTCGATCCAATAGCATGCACATCCATGATATCCCAAGTTCCTCCAAGAATCCCCGGCGCGCCAGTCGTCAAGTTGAAATAGAAAGGCGCGTCGGCCATTTGGAATTTCTGGAAAAATCCAGCATTGTTAGGATAGGTTTTCCACTGTGTGAGTTCTTCGGTGATGGGATAGACGCCTGCGCCGGGAATACCGCCTAAGAGGTTGCGCTTTGCGCCGGGAGCGAACCCGGTACCGGTGACGGATTCGGGAGCAGTTCCGAACCAAGAGGTCACGAGGAAGTCACCAATGATGGATTTGAGATCGGAAACCGAGGCGGGAATGATGGCAATGGAGGTGGAGACTTGATAGTAGGTGCCTGCTGGGCAGGAGCAGGGTTGAGGAGTTGGTCCGCAAGTGGGAAGCTTGGGTGGGGAAGGGGTGGGTCGAGACTTGGATAAGGAGTCTACGGTGGTTGCAGCTGGTAAAGCTAGAACCGAAGCAATGAGAGGAGCGATTGCGAGGATAGAGAAACGCATTTTGATTGTTTTTTGATTGCTACTTTAGTGAAGATTGGATTGTATGAAAAGGCTTGTAGAAGACTTTTGAAGTGTTGATTGATTGTAGTGAATTCTGTAGGTAATCTGAAGATGGTTCTGGAGAATGATATTGCTAGAATTGCTGTGCTGTTGTGCTGATGATGCTTGAGATAATGATGATGTTGTTGATGATGATGGAAAGGAATTTGACATCTGGAAATGAAGATCTTCTTATACATTTTTGAACACAAAGTTCCATAGCCACAAGCTCTATCAGCCTTCCCAAACCTCACGACTTCACTGTATTCACTGGCGGCTCCGAAAAGTCTTGTCTCAAGCTCAAAGCTCAAACGGCAGAGAATCCTACAATTAGATTTTCGAGAACTGTGCCCCACGTGGATGACAGCGATGTAAGTTGTGGAGTGCATCAAAATAGATCCTACAATTCCAAATCCTTGGTTCAGTATCCCACTTTAGGTTATTGCTGATAGCAAAGCCACTCTGATAGCAGCTTAACAGGGGCTGAGATCTCGGTTCCCACGTGGATGACTGCATTTCTGATCGTACCTTACAGATGTCAACCCTTTCATTCGGTGCTGAATCTGAAATCCAAGAGCCAAGAGCTCAACCACCCTGAAAGCCATGTGCTGGATAGACTTGTACGTCGTATCTTACTCTAGTAGGCATGGTAGCAAGGCTGAAAACGTGGTTGAGATGCATGGTGAGAATGATCGGACGCTGCATGCAGCATGACTCGGAGATCTATCCGAGACGCAGGTGCTTGGGAAATTGAGAGGATTGAGCCTCAAAGCTAATGGATCCAATATTACAAGTGACTTTCGTTTGATTGTGAGTCTTGCCAGGGGCTGACATCGCTAGTGCTTCTTCATCTGACAAGTAAGCGAAGGGGCGACACAATTTTTGTCGGATCCGGTGACCGGATATCTCTCGACCGACCGGATATGTGGATTCTTATCTTACTATGTAGCTTATTATAATCAGATTGACTCCATTTCAAGGTGATAAGCACTGGATTCCGGTCTGCTTGCTCCGGTGTCGTCGGATTAGATATATCCATATTCTCTTGGTACTGAGAATATCATGACAGATGGCATATAAGTTTGGTCCTTCCTGGTATTCTCATCATCACTATCGATCATTCAGCAGATAAAATGTTTCCAAATACTCTTATTGCAGGGCAATTTGTCATCGCGGTTGTCTTATGCGGCTGTTTTATTTTCAGAAAGCCTTTGACGGCGACATGTAATAGTATTCTTTCAAGGGTTCTTAACGTAAGTTACTGCGCCCCCATAACATCAGATGTTCTTTATTTGTCATGGATATGAGACTGATTGAAAAATAGTTATACTTGTCATATCGATATCCTGTCAAGCATGTCGAATTTGGACATAGACTTCCAGGTTGCGATTATGAGTTCCCCAATGGTCAAGGCGACAGTGCAAAATTCCTTTATGGAAAAGAGAACAGCGAATTATGGGGATCAAAATATGGTTCTATCTACCAAATCTGGTCAGGTCATAAACCAGAAATGTGAGTACACCATTTGGATTTTTATCCGGACCCAAAATTAAAAGAGGGCTAAGTTCTAATGTGAATCACAGTGTTCTCACTCAAGCTGCCGATATTCAAGCCGTCTTCAGTGATTCAGATAAACATTTCAAAGCTGTGAACAACAATTCCGGATATTTGTTGGGTCAAATACTTGGTCAATGTGTTGGATTGATCAGTGGCCAGCAATGGAAGCGTGTTCGCTCTATTGTTGAGAAACCATTCCATCGTAGTATCACTCCAAGACATGTTCCAATGATTGAACAACGAACTACTTCATTCTTTCAAGAACTTTGGGACTCTAAAGATTTATCACGTGGACTTATCGACCCAGCAGATGATCTGAAACTTCTCCCATTCTTGATTGTGGCAGAAGTCGTTTACGGGAAGCTAGCTCCAGATGTCGAGTCCGAGCTCCGTGCCCTCGCTCCGATCCGAGAATCCTTCTTCAAGCACGTTATCTCGGGTGGGCTAACTCGTTTTGAATGGTCAGCTTACCTTCCTACGCAAGCAAATAAAGACCTTGCAGCATTTAAAGAACGATGGATTGCATTCAACGAATTTGCTTATCAAAGAGCGAAGGAACAAGGGCTCAATGCCCCCATCGTGGACTTATTCGCCGCAAAAGAAATGGGAGAACTAACCGAGGATGAAATGTTGCATACTCTTGACGAGATGCTATATGCAAACCTTGATGTGACAATTGGCGGTGTAAGCTGGAATCTTGTGTTCCTTGCATCTGACGTATCCGTTCAGGATCAATTACGAGCGGAATATCAAGCTGCCCAAAAAGAAGCCGACGAAAACGGTTTGACGCTAGAGAAGTACCTGTCGAATAGTACAACCTTCCTCGCTGCTTGTGTATCTGAAGCTTCTCGTCTACGCCCTCTCGCCGCATTTTCTGTCCCGCAAAGTATTCCCACACCAAGAGTTGTCGGAGGCTACGAATTTCCGGCTGGAACAAATTTTGTTATTGATTCATATGCTTTAAATATCCGTAACTCATTCTGGGGGGAAGATAAAGCCACATACCGTCCAAGCCGTTTTATGGAAAGAACCGCAACTCAAGCACGATATAACTTTTGGAGATTTGGATTTGGTCCAAGACAATGCATGGGGAAATTTGTGGCAGATACATTGATACGAAATATCTTGGTACATTTGGTAAGAGAGTATGATTTATCATTGTTGAAAACCGAAGAGTGGCAGAGAAATCCTGAGATTTGGATTAATCATCCGGATATGAAGTTGAGGTGTGTGAAAAGAGAAGGATGAGCTTTATGATATCGGCGCTTAGATGATTGGGCAACTAAGCTGCATTTTCTGGTGGCGTATCTTGTGTCCCTGAAAGTCAGTTTGAACGTATAGAGTTCGATATGGCATTGAAAAAGATAGCTTGGCGGGTATCTTTCAAGCCACATTGAATAAAAAAATCATCTTTCAATCAGAATTCCTTTGACCTCGTCGTATTTGATCTGTGCTTGAGATAGTATCTGTACGAAAAATAGAGAATGGTGCATGTATTGAGATCAGTGGTGAAGATGTGCACATGCCCAGAAAGCGAAGTATGGTAAACAAGGAATATCTCCCATCCTATTCTAATATGATTTGAATACTTTTATTGCCAAAACTCGTTGTAACTCCAATCATTGTCCACATTAAATATACCAGCATCTGAAAAATCAAAGATGTCACCCTGAAACTAAATTGAAAACATTTGAATTAGCATTGATGTTATATAGATCACACGAAAATCCATTGAATAAGATAACTAGAAAATATTTACCTGATTCGCGTCAGCCGCAAAAGTGGCTAACTGATCTACATATCCTGGCTGGGAGGTATAAATGGCTTGGTCTACAGTAGACATTGGGATATCCACTGCAGGTGTTGCTCTGATGTTATTCTTACTATCCTGTAAAAGAATTAGTCTGATTTTCCCGCTTGCACAATCAAGCAGAAAATGCCTACCTCTTTCAGTTCTGGATTGTTGGATGGAAGTTTCATTTCTTCATCAGGAAAGGATTGTAGCAGCGTCTGCCTGCATGCTAACAATGCTTTCTTGGAACCTTCGTGCATCAAATTCTCTTTTAGATTTGATGTACCATTCGCTCGTACGGATTGCATCGCCACAGAAAGAATGAGAACATCTTTGAGATCACTACCAAATTCCCCCACTCTCTTAGTGAAGCCTTCTAGTGTACCTTCTACTATCCTAGTAAGCCTGGCTTTTGAAAAATGTGTATTTGTTACTGGAGGGCTAGGTAAGGTCGTTGGGAGTTGATTGGGTGTAAACCCTGGACTGGGCTCATTGCTTTGAGACCCTGATGCAGATGCTTTGATATATTGACAGATGCTCAAGACAGCGGCTAAAACGTCGTTCTTGCAACAAATTTGGAACATCGTCCAATGCAAGTTTGTACTCAACAAATCCAAATCTGCCACTGAGGGATCAAAATAATCTTGATAAGAAACAATGGCAACTGACGATTCCAAACAAATTTGTTGCATCTCTCGGAATAATGGATCATCTTGTCGCTCTTCCCATAAAAGCAACCGGTAAAGATTGAGAAAAGGTCTCCTCAGATATATATCCAATAAAACACAATCTAATAGATGAGAAGGAGAGCGTTGAAGTGTTCCATCTAATTTGAGTGGTACTGGAACACGTCGTAAAAGTTCCTCCAATTTCCTTCCTTCTCGAACAACTTCTGTAAGATCCATATTAGGACTAATATCTCTAATAAGTGAAACAACCTTGAGTTGTTGCGCCAACGACATGGCTAATGTGACCTGGGCGAGAGAGTCGGTCCATTCATATAGAGGCCTTGAAGGAGGAAGTTCAGTTGTAGATTCGTCAAAATCCGCATCATTCAAATTCGCTGGAGCCAATTGAGTAAAGTCTATGTCAGGAACAATACTGGGCATGCTCGCAGCCATGGATGCTTGTAGGTCCATTTGAACAATTGTTGCCCAAAGTCTTCGTCTTAACTCAGCATGAAACGGTGAAATCTTCTTAAAGTCCGCTGGTCTTAAGTGAAGTCCCATCACCATGGCAGAACGAACCAAAGCCCCCGTGGCACACCAGAGCTTATCTGAAGAGATAAGTTGTAGTTGTCGAGCAAGTAAAAGCAGCGTTTCGGTTTGCAAAGTTGATATATCAATTGCCTGCTTTCGACTTAGAGTATCGGTCCAAGCCGCCACAAGCTCGAGTGATGCCATTTCCAAATACGTCTTCTGGTCATCGTCAAATCCTGAATCACTATCGAGGAACTTATAACAGATCGCTAGTATGGCCGTCAATTGAGGTAAAAATGGTGAAGATTGGAATATTTTATCGTCGGGGGAAGTCCAAAAGTGCGAGTAAAGCCGAAGGAAGGAGGGCACATGAAGGATCCTTGAACTCTTTTCGAAATTTTCAGTATAGATCT